TTATTTCAATCAAAATGTTATCTTAAACATTTTGCGTGTATCTGAAAACAAGGAGACGAAAAAGAGAAGGAAAATAAAATAAAATACTCACAAAAACGGTAGCGGCGGCGGCGATGACGGTGGTGACAGTTAAATCCCTAAATACAATATATTATATGGCTGTGTAAAGGGAAAAGTGTCCCGTACTTTGCTACTATTAGATACCTAGGTATATTAAAAACCCTACATATCATATACTCCGGGGTGCCCTCTACATTTCCTAACAGCATACCTACATACACACTGAAAACCAACGCACGGACCTTAAACCGATCCACAGTATAAAATGCTTTAAGGCCATATTTCATTTTGAATTATTATCGTAGCGCTCGGAGCGTGTAAGGTACCTATACAACCAACTCATCTCCATCAGTTTCCCGAAACAGTTACCACACATCCTTGGGTCATATCTCGGGTAACCACTCGTCCCGCCAAATTATTCTAGACCTCGTCGGGTCCTGTTCTCCCTCACCGCAACAGTAGTCGTAGATAAACGTATATCTATGCTAGTCGGTGCGTCCACAATTGATTAAAATACCTTTGGTCCCAAAACTGGTCGGATAATAATAATAAATTATAATGTTTTTTTATCACTCAAACAAAAAATGAAACTACATTGGACCTTATGTCGTTAGGAGGTTATAACCCATTTTCAAATTATCTTTCTTTATTGAAAACTGTCCAGCTCTACTATGCATAATATTATAACATCTACACTATTTGAAAGTCTTAATTACACCAGAAAATATATCCCGAAAGCGTCACTGCTAATTACTTAGAAAGTCCTGCGGTTTACCAGTCTAGATTGCTAAGCTACATTAAAAATATATTCTAATAATTCTGAATTATGCGTTCAAACAAACACAAGTCGTTAAAAAGGTTACGATAAATAACATGATACAAAGTGTGTTATTATTATTACCACGCTGGATAATTACTGTTGTAATACACCAAACGTTTTGATTTTAATGCTTCTGAACGTCTGTTTAATCTGCTCTGAAAAGCAGAGCGCATTCAAATGCCATTATCGCCGTTTTAATTATACTTAAGAGCGGTAGCGGTAGAAAAAAAATTAAATGTATGTTGATTATACTTTGTGCAAGATAACTCGAGAAACATTATACATTGCGGTTAATTTCGTACAATACAATTTTTAATAGCAAGAGATGATAATAACGAAGGTACGGATTATCAATAATAACCACTATCACAAAAGCTACGGCTTGCTTTATACAAATAAATCGGTGATATTGAATTGAGTCCCAAATATTGAAATGAGTCCCACGAATATTTGTGGGTTGTCGGAATTGAGTCCAACAAATATTTTTTTGGTTGTTTGAGTTGAGTCCCTTCAGCCTATTAGCGTTATCGAGGAGACACCACGTGGAGGTTGGCTGATTAGTCTCCCAAAAATGTATGTGCTTGCTTACAAATGCTTTGCTTGTTTATAAATGGTCAAAAAAAACTTACAATTTTAATAATTTTTAAAAATAATTAAAATAATGTCTGAGTTTAAAAAGTTGCTGGTAAAAATTTAAATGAAACAGATTTTAAGTAGTAAAATCTGCTAATTTTTTTATTTTGATATTTGATAATCTGCTCCCGTAAAAATTGTTCTTTTTCCAATGTTTTTTTACATGTTTTTGTTGTTGCATTGCTTCGTAATTTAATATAGGTATATATCTGACTGTATGCCTAGAAGAGTGACAACAAGAATACAAATATTCGGATGTCCTGAGTGAAACAATGCATTTAATTTTGCATGAAAACTTTCACAACTGTTAGTTGTCCGATTCGTGCTTGCTGAAAAATCACACCAAATTTTTGGGGGGAAACTGTCCAACTTCATTGTTTATTTGGGACTCAATTCAATAAAGTCCGTTCAAATTCCCTCTTAATAATAGCAAAGGAGACTATGCTTACGATCTTATCTACGTAATCAATTCAAACATATTAAGATAAGAAACGGGACTCAATTCAAATAACTAAAAGTAGGATGGACTCAATTCAATGTTATCCAAATAAATAACCATCATTTCTATAAAGCTTTATAATCCAAGGAACCTCTATGACACTCTTTATAGTGACGTCAAGGAACGTGATATCCGCAAAGACAAGAAGCTGTATTATAATGTACTATATGTACACAGCACAACACTACAGATTAGAAGATTCCCCGTTTTTTGTACATGCCGCTTACACTGTACTAAACTTAACAGCACAGTAGGCGCATGTGCTGCTCGGATCAGGATAATGAATCTGGACCCTGTAAAAGCGGCAATGTAAAAAAAAAACATATTCATTGTACGTGTATATCGTAAAATGTATACCAGACGCTAAGCTTTTTGTCCGACTATACTCACCGGCCTTTGTAACTGGCGTGCATAACTAAACATGCACACTTAAACAATATACTGCCGAGTCGACAACTTTGCCTCTGTTACTCTCCCACCCTTTCACACACACACACACACACAAACTCATATAGTGTCTGAGTCTCGTAGAACAGTCGAGTGAGCGATGCAATACACACGCCGTCATGTTTTTTAGAGAGTTGAGGGTGTTGCCATAGCCACAGGTCGAGTACTCTCCGACGCTTTTATTTTTTATTTTAAGTTCGCTGCTATAACTATACCACTTCTCTATGCGCTGCCACATGAAGTAGGCCGGAACTCGACTTGCTTAAAAAGAAATTCCACCGGTGGTGGTTAAAGCGGTATATAGTAACGGTGTATGTAAAAAAAACCTGAAATTCCACCTTAAGTATTAGGGAATAGCACGGACGAGGGGAAAAGAGAGAAATCCACTCGCATTGCCCAAAGACATAAACCTTCAAGTGCCCACTCGTGTAGAAGTCGAGGGAATTTTTCTTTTGTCAGTTATTTCGACGTGGCCCACTCGAACGAGTCTTTTTGAATATATAAGTTCATTAAATCGGCCGTTGCCAGGGTGTTTTTTTTTTTTTAATTTGTTTCTTCATAACAACCGTAAATGATAATACGAATAAAAAAATCATCTTTCCGGGTCACATACACGCGTATTATTATTTTAAAAAAAAATATATATAAAACGTCCGTCACTGCCCGTCGTTATTATATAAGCTACACAAGTGGCTTCGCAAGTAATACGGGTCTTTGTGCGATATTGTGCTAAGAAATCATTCCGTAAATCAAGACGGGTTATTGGATATCCCGCGGACTGCACATTTTGTATAATCCTAGCGATGGCAAAGCCAAGAACACGATGACACATTATTCGCCTTGCCGTTATATCGATTGCGACTGTTCTTCTCGGTTGTGCACGGCTCGAATTTATGCGCGTGATTTATGATTATTCATTTCGGTTCAGTTACCCAATAGGCAATAGGTTTAACTGCCGCAACTCACGAACCGTTTTTCGTAGAAACTGAATACCCTCAAAAAAACGTACTAACTGCGACAAATGAAACAAACGTGTATGTATTTAATATAATATTTAATATAAAATGAAAAAAAACGACAAACGTAAAGGAAATTAGACCGTAATAAAAACAACACCCTTTTTACGTTTAACGCTTACACAGGTAGATACAGTAATATTTTCATATTTTTTTTTTTTTTTGTCAAAAAGTTATTTTAGCTTGTATAAAGATTTAATCAACTGTTTGTCTTAAGAGACATGGGTACGTCAAAAAATTGTAAATAAAAAAAAAATTTTCGGAAAAAGCTTTTGCGATTTCAATTGTGAACATTTTTGTGATTTTTTTTTTTTAAGTAAATTCTAAGTATTTATGTAGAGCGTTATACTATCTCTAAAAACTGTAGCCCATGTCGTAATGAGTAAATTATAAATCATTAATATTATGTAATATAGTCAGTGGTAGAATAATAAAAACCTGCAACGAATGTAATGTGAATTGCTCGTTTTTTTCTTATAATTTTCATTTTATTCCATATATTAAAACTATAATATAATATCTGGTGGCTGATGGTTATATATTCAGATCAAACAGTGGTACACGTTAAAGGATATTGCGATTTTACCGACCGAACGGTTTTCTATTTATTATTATAACGAATCGTTCGGCGGATCCTTTTGTTCGTCATTCTACGTTTAGCCGATTGATAAGGATATTTTTTTTTCTCGTCGTCGTCGTTTTAATCCAACGACCAGATTTTCAAACTCCACAATTGTGCTAGCGGGAAATCCGTCCGTACGTCAGTTGTTTACTTCCGGTCGGATTCAACATAAAGGCGACGCAATCAAGTCACGGACTACATCCCGTCCGCATTGCAGTCATATACAGTAATATGTATACAGGTAAAGGGGATCTGCCTGCGGAAAAATGATTAAAAGGTCTTTCGCAGTCATTACTAAAATCAATCGCAAACTCAGTCGTAATCGGCCGATCCCAAAGGCCAATCACAAGTCAAGCTTACCCCGAAGAAACACTAGTCTGCAAAGTAAATGAAATACTCCCGTCTTGCCGGCAAACGTTATCGGCCAAGTACACTGTTCTTCAGTAACGGCGCCTTCAAAAAGTTGTTGTTCTTGTCTGTAGTCACGTATTATCCGTACCGTTCTCGTATTCCAACCATTACACCATTATTTTTATTCGGTCGTATCGACGGCCTTATCTATTAATCTCTTTCTCAGTTCATTCGCCTTGCTAAGCGTATCGAACAATCACGGTTTCGTTTAGTTTAGATCATTTAAAAAGTTTAAAGCTTATACAAATTCTTATGTTGCAAATCCGCCTACGACATTAGCTGTTCAAAACATAACGACTTGGCGATAATATTATAAATAAGTAGACAGGTACACCGAAAATCATCTTGATGTTAACCGAATATATATATATTTAGTAGTATAGTGATCAGATAAATCATTGCACTTTAAACCATAAATAAAACAGAATTATATCAAAAAACAAAAATATGTTGGTCCATAAATAATTTTTTTTTTTTAATTTTTTTTTGCAGATTGATCCGAAAGTGGCATTTCCACGACGAGCTCATCCAAAAGTAAGTACCGTGTACTAATATTATTTATTTCAAAGAGTCGCTTCAGTATATTATACTCGGCGAATACGAAAAGAAGTATTTAATAAACTTAAATACTAACCTAGAACAAATAATGCAAACATAAACAACTTACCATTAACAAATGATAAATCGGATTGCCTATCGTAGTATTTACTGTTATTCAATGAATCTAAGGAGGTATCTTTAAGGGATTTTGTGGACTTCACTTCTGCGCCACACGATGACAACTTAAACAGCGTCTTTTCGATCTTACTCTAACTTGCAGTTATTTAACGCGGTTTTGCACCAAAGCCAACAAAATCCGTCCGATGCCCATTTATAATGTTTCACCAATAGTATAATATATATTGTGAGAAATAGCATTACCCCCGCAACGTCGGTCGAAAGGGAAATAACGGTTTTACCAGAAACGGAAACCAAGGGAACTGCGATAGTAGAACTCCGTTTTCGAGTATTGTGTGTTTTGCGTGTGAGAATGTGAAACCTTTGTTTTCGTCGAAAACCCGTTAACAATAAAAAATATATATAACACGAAGACGTTTAAACGAAACAAACTTACAGTCCGTTTTCCGGTAAAAGCTTCATACATATATTTAACGCGCTACTTATTCGTTTTGTTTCATTATTACATTATATTATATACATAAACATTTGTTTTTTGTTTCATTTAAATCGATATTGGCATGAGCAATAAAAACTTTTCAGCCTACACCCGTTTAATTGAAATAATAGGAGAATATAAAAGAAAAGATAGGGAAAAAAAAGAAAGCTAAAAAATGTGTGTGTGGAAGATGTGTCAGATCGAATTGAGTTAAGGTAAAGAACTAGAGTAACTGACCTCAAATATCTGAGAGAAGAAGAGAGAAGTATGCGGGAAATGATAAATAAACTAATAAATTATTTGTACTCTAGGATTCTCCTGAAAATCCAGAATCTAGGAATCTCCGGTAATCTATATTATAAGCTAATAATATCATTGAAATTAGAATATAAAACCAATTCTAAGATCAATGTTAATAGTTATGAAATAAACTAGACTTTATATTATAATAACAAAATCAAGGTGCAATTACGAACTATCTCCGTTTTATGCAACAATATTTTGTTATTTTTTCATGTTTTTTATTTTATTATTAATCGTTTTGATATTAACTAAAAGTTAAAAAATAATGTACTTAGTTGGGAAGCAGAGTAATCTAAGCGTTCTCAGCTTTTTCTACCCTTTATTCGGCCATCTTTCAATACTATTATACCGTATGGACTTAGTAAAACGCATTCTGCGTAGCTATGTTTAGACAAAACATCGCTGTCAAGGGTGCTATGATAGTCCGAGAAAAAAATTAACTACCAAAAAAGAGTCCCAAATACTGAACTAATAATTACACAACACAGTTAAATCTTTACACTAAGATTTTGCAAAAAATTGTCAATACTCAACTCCTAAATAAATATAAGGTATCACGTCCTCTCAAGATATTTCAGTATTGGTTGATAAAAAAAAAACTATAGCTTTTACTCAATATAGACAATATAGTGGCATTACAAAACGACTGTCTGATGAAAAAATGTTGTTGCGGTCGACGGTGGTAATGTTTTCTGTCAGTGGAAAACAATACAGTATCATCTAAACGTGTATCTTATGGAGTTGGCTGGCAAAATGGGATTTTTCAAAAGAGCAAATGTACCGTTTCGCTAGCCGGCATTATTGCCAATATTCCGAACACTGCTGGGCGTATATGTGCACGTAGGTGCATTTTTTTTGTGCTCTTCATTTTATTGAAAACTTCAAAAGACGACTGAGGACAATAACAAACTATGTATTCTTTAGGAAAAAAAAACATTCCTGTGTGTACGTATGCGAATACAGCGGTATAAAAAAAAATCCACTCCGTCCGTTGTATACACCCACAAAGATAACCCTAATGTAATTTGTCTACTATTTCCCGAGCGAAGTTTATTCAAATTCGGTTTGTTTAATAATATTTTTTTTCCCCGATCTGGAGACCCTCCGGTATTGGATACACATTCCCTTATACAACGCGGCTTACCAATACGGTAATACGGCTACCACCATACATAGTATGGTCTGTAGTGCAATAATAATACATCATTGCTGGAAAACGTATTATGCCTACCGCCTCGACACTACGGCTATGCGTTTTGCTCGTCGTTAAGCGGTCTAAAAGTACACACAAAATATTATAATGATATAATATTTATTATAAAGGGGTATACCCACACAAGCAGCTATTATTTTCTCAAAAGTGAGAGTCACTTGTTTATGAATTTCTTCGTAGCTCGCCATATTTCTTTTTCAATACTTCCGCGCATGTTGGCGATGATTTTCGCCCGTTATTATAGCTACCATTATTATGCATTTTTTTAAGGGGGAGAGGGCAGTAGTTGAAGAGGCAAGTAGCTAAAGGTACCGAACAACAAAAATTATTATACGAAACGATAAAAATTCCGGCACGAAAGGTGGTGGCGGCGGCGGCGGCGACATGACAGAGGCAACGTGCAGCGCTCGGTTGATACCATAAATCACCGGTTATTGTCAAGACGCTATACAATTAATACGATATTTGCCCCCTCCATACTTTCCTTCCCGATTGTCCTTCCGAAATTATTAATCCTGTCAGCGAATAACGTCCCGACAAAAGCCGGAAAAATTATTCTATTATTATAATCTTACGGTACGCGGCAAATATGATTGCCACCGAGGCCGCCACCGCCCAGACTATGGTATGCGGTTTAATGAGACACATCACGCACGCGTTCGGCCTTTATTAGCTCCTGTATTGTGTGTCGCAAGTCGTGTTTGGCAGGGACGTCATATCAGATTTTACCAGATAGAGTCACGATTTCAACCGACCCCCCCCCCCTCCTTAAATATTTAATATTTACCTATAGCAAATACAAACCCTAGGGTCGCCCCTCGACCACAGTAGCTTTTGTATGTCAGTCATGATTCATCTACGGAATTCCAGAAAATCGGACAGTTCTTATATTACTATAGCGTGTAAATATCGCTTCCAACCCAGTTTTTTTCGCCGTGTTAAAATTACATGTTTCTGATAAAATAGAATCACTTATAAAATTTAAAAATATCAAACTAAAGGCTACTCCGAACAAACCGTCAATTTCGAATACGTTCATACTTAAAAGTGGTATTATAATAATATGTCTGTGGGAGGCTAATGATCCAAAAGTATTATCTAATGTTGTAGGCTACGCTCTGTTTAAACTATCATATTATATTTAACATTTATTTGTATACGTTATCGAATAAAATTACAAAACAATATTGTTTTCACAATAATATTAAAGTTTAATTTCGATCAATTAAACACATATTTTACTTTAATTATCTAGATGCGATATAGCGCGCTCGTATGTATGTAGAAAGACAGATTGTGCATGCGAGACAGCTCATTGATTTTTAAGCCGGCCATTACATAATCCTCTAGATACTCGATCAAGACGTTGTAATCATATTTCAACGGGCACGTCTTGTCCGTTACGCGATTAATAGCCATTCAATTTATTACGATGTGGACATAATATTATTATCGGTAGTTGTTTTCTGCAAGGGCTTCTTTTTTTTCCACCCCTAACTGCGCTTACCTATTTAACGTAACGCCACGCCGGCCGTCCCGAGTCGATAAGCTCGGTAGCCTTACAATGATGGAAATGCCTGACGGGATTTAAATGCGTGATGTAACCCTAAACGTCAGTCATCACGTTGCCGCTAAATATGTGTCCGCAGAGAACATCCGCATAGAAGTCATTTAATTTTAAACTCCACGCTTTTAACGGCATAACCTTCGATGAAAATCGATATACTTTTTATTTATATTATGTCTTAACGTATCACATGTATACCATAAATATTATTTAACCCTTTAACTTGTGCAGTTTAACGCAAGTAAAAAAAAAAGAAAGAGAAATAGAGGGTTTACATTTGAATTGCCAGTACTAAGTGTCGTGGTTTGTCTTTTATGAAATGAGCCATCCCTGAATAGGAGTGTGTGCGGACACAGGTCAAACACCTTTGATTTCCATTACGGAGTGATCGGGATTTAAATTTAATTAATTTCGCCACATCTTTGAAGGGACGGGATCCGCCAAACAAAGTTAATTTCATTCCACCGTGGTGAAGATTCAATTTTGATTAAGGTACGTCAAATAACAACAACAATTACTAGCAGCAATATTGTTCAGTTCAGGCATCTGTGCCAAAAGCTGATTTATACTTACAGTAGGCACTTGTCGTTTCGTGACATTTACACGGCAAACGTGCAGTCCTCTAGCATAACAATTTTGGAAAGTCTACTAGGGAATCTGTCCAGAAAAATCCACACTTTTTCGCAAAGTCTATTCGGCTGCTGATGTACCTGTATTTGTTTATATTAAAAACTCTGAAGGTAAATAAAAAACCACTTTTATTGATAATATCATTAATAGGTAAAATAAATAATTCTGTTTTTATTATCCAAATAAAATATTATAATAAATGTCCGCCATGCTACGTCAAACTAGCGGTGCTTTAGTAGCCCAGGCAATGATTAAAACGGGGCTTAAATTTATCATTATTACTCCACGAGGTAATTCTACGTGCGCTATACTGTTCGCCGAGCTTTGCATTTAGATTAATAACAAAAAGGATATTATATTCTCTACACAGACGCAGTCCATTCGTAGTCTGACAATGAAAATCAAATGATAGTGAAATCCTTTAATATGGCAGCAACAAGAACAAAAACCAAGAGTAGATTTGTGTGTTATAGTAATATATATATGCGTATTCTTCCAAGGCAAATTTAGGTAAATGTAAATGCAGGTAAATGTATCATTACAATAATACAGCTGTTTATACGTTGCCCAAATGGTTCTGAGCACAGTGTTACCTAAAATCAAATGACATTATGCACAAGACAAAATTGCCCACTTTGTCCATAACTTATTACACATAAACATTA